ACACGTCCTAATGTTGTGGCGTCTTGGTTCCAGTCGGGAATGAACGACAACATGTCAAAATGTATCGTTAGAGTTTGCAATGGTTAGATACTAGTACATGACATGACCAAGTGTAATGCTCTGTCTTCTGGAGCCTTCGCTTTGATCCTAGAGATTTAGACGAAGAAACTTCCAAGCTACACATCATAATTTGATGTGCAGCTTCGTCGACGACCGCCAACTCCATCACGGTTCTTTGTGTTGTTGTTGAATGTTGTGAACGCTGCACAACTTTATCAATCACTCGTACCGACGCCAACGACCCGCTCGAAATCTTCGATTATCCACGCTTTGTATCCAATCACAGCGCGCCTACAATAGAATCGACAGGCCATTGGGCATAATGCAGCTTGCGATTACTCACAAACGCATGTGATTGGTGAATATCGGCATGGCGTGCGGTGATTGGCGCAAATGCAGCACTCTCCATTTCACTGCACCTCGACGATGCCAAGCACGGAAGCCATCGACCGCATGACGGTACGACTGCGTCGAGCCTGGACTGCCCACGCACGCATGGCGCCTAGGTGAAGAAGCTGCAGGCAGAGCTCCAGAAGCTCGGCGCTGCCACCCGCGGGACCAAGGTACGAACTCGTGCACACGGCGGGAGCGAGGCCATGGCGTCGCGGATAGGCCGAGCTCAAGGCACGCCTCGTGGCGCTTCTCGAGGTGCGCGCTCTTCCATCCTAGTCGACATGCCCAAACAAACTGCGTGCGATAGGAGTCAAATGCGCCTGCGGAGAGCGAAGAGGCTCCTGCGTCCAACTGCAACCTGGACGCGCCGGCCAACGAAGCGGCCGCGCCGACTGCAGAGGCGGCGCCGGTCAACGAGGCGCTTTCTACTGCAAGCGAGCCATTACAACCAGTGGAACCGACGGCCACCGTCGCACCCGAGGCTATTGCGACGACGACGAGCCAAGAGAACACCGACGATCCAGCCCGTACGACGCCTCGAACAACAAACCACCTACCAGATCCGACTCTGTAGATGCAGATACGACGCCCGATGGGCCAATGACCACGGAGCCAGATGTACTGTCGACTCCCCACGTTGCTGCGTCGTCAGCCCCCGGTACATTGACATTCTATCAACGTATCAACGACCAACACGTGTAGATATCGACACGGCGGCACCTCCAGCCAAGAAGCGCAAGGTCGAAGCGACACCGTCTGTCGTCATGTCCGTGCCACCGGCCAAGTACGCATGCTATCTTGTCCTTGCATTCGCTGTACTACTTGCTTGTAGGAACCCTCTTTCGTGCACGCTCCGTATCGACAACTTTGTTCGTCCGTTCACGCTGCCCGCAGTCCACGTACGACGCGACGTCCCGCACCGTTGCAACTTCCCGACCCCTAGGCGCTCGTCCAAGCCGACGGCTCGTTTGTCGAGGACCATGGCTTTTGGATCGATGGCATCAAGACGCATTGCTACGTTACGTTTGCGACTCCGGAAATTGTGCGTCCAAATGATGACATTATTGTGTTTAGAGACATGACTAACTAGGCGACGGCGACGCGTCAGCGCCTCCACGGCGTCGTGTGGCCGGCCCACCATGGCAAGACTCTTTCGGTCGACTACTCGGCATCGACTGCCAAGATGATTGCAGTCGCGGTATGCCGCTCACCGTAGCGTGTGTCCTTATGACGTGCTAGAACCCGGTGCCCGAGCTGCGACGAAGACCAACGTTGGTCGCGTCCGTGGGCAAGCCGACAGCCGCCTCGCTCCCAGGTACGACTGCGTGACCCAAGACTCTAGTGTCGAGACCGCCTCAAGAGCCGCCTGCAATAGCGCCGCCCGTGACGATGGAAGACCTGTTTTGGAAAACGAGTACCAAGCCCGTGCTCTACTACTTGCCGCTCACGTCCGAGCAAGTGGCGCTGCGGCAAACCTCGGCCGTCGCCACGACCACAACCACGTCCTTGTAGGCCGATGACGCAAATTTTCGTGTTAAGCCAACCTCAAAACTCAAACCCGTCGAGGTGGTTGAGATCCATCTCAAAAATGAGCTTGACTTCAGCGATTTGCCCGAGGCACGCCGACGTGTGCGGGCAGTGGTCGCGGACGACGCGGTAGAGCACGTCGCACGCGTGCACGACCGCCGTGCAGCTCAGCGGGTTGACTTCATGGCCATCGTCCAGCGGTCCACTGGCCTCGCCTTCGTCGCCGAAAATGGCCGCATACTATGAACCATGCATGACAACCCTACCCCTTGTTGAGATAACGCAATGTCGTACCATCTTGTGCTGGTGGTGGTAGAGCCAGTCGTACACAAAATTCTTGTACTGGCGCGAAAAGATACGGCCCAGCAGCGCCTCGTCGGCCGGCGACTGCGCGACGCCCACCAAGTGCAGCAAGGTAAACGACAACTGGAGCTCGAGCTGCTCCTTGTACTTGAACTCGGATATGTCCTTGAGCTCCACAGCCGCGTCCAGCGTGTCGACGACCGCAAGCACAATGGGCTCGTAAAACACTCCGTACGAGACGCGCGTGAGTGAGACGCGGAGCGCCATTGTTGCGCTGATCCGCACCTAGCGACGCATCGACTGGGTGCGCCTCTAGCTTGCGAGTGGGTACCTTGAAGTTGTCTTGCTGCTGGATGGCCCCGAGGAGCGCCGCAAACACGGTCGGCGTCCACGGCGCTGACGCCACGGGCAGCTCGGGACTCTGAAAGATCTTGGCGAGCGCGTGGCACGAGTTCCAACGCACCTACCACCGACAAAAATACAGTGTAAAATACACAGAAACCCCAGATGCAACGAGCGTGTACCTTGGGCGCCCCGTCGCCAATCTTGCGCGCCAAGCTCTCCATGGCGGTCGCGAGCAGTCGGCTTGGCGCCACGGCCACGTTCCGCTGCGCGACTTGCGAGAGGTACGGCGACGCACACAGCCAGCGCGCGACGAGACCCATGGTTCGGACAACACTCGACACGACCTTGTCATTGTCATCGAGCATCGTGAGCATGCATTCGAGCACGTGGCAGACAAGCGCCGGCTCGAGCAGCATGATGAGCCAGGGCCTGAAACACAGCATACATCATAAACCCAAACCCTACCCAAACCCTACATGTCTTGGGCTTCAGTCGAGTCGGGGCCGGGCGTCGTGCACGCATTGCCAATGGCCCACACGACGCGGACGCGCACGTTGAGCGTCGAGTCGGTCGCGAGGCGCATGCCTAGCCGCACCACCTGCGACACAAAGCTGGGCGTCTAGATGTAAACGAAAATCAGAAATAAATAAAGACAAATCAGAAAATATAAGAAATGATATCGACAACAACGCACCTTGAAGATGGGAAGCAAGACGAGTGCGCCAAGGAGACGAAAGCCCGCGGCGCGGACGACCGCCGACGCGTCGAGGGGCGTCGCAAGAAACGTTTTCGTCAGCGGCGCCAGCGACAGTGTCGCCCAGTCGGCTTCGCGCAGCAGCGTAAAACACGCGCAGACACTGGCGCGGACATGATGCGACGGGTCCTGGAACGCGCGCACCACATGCGTCGATAGAAACGGCAGCTAGTGGTACCCGTTGATACATTGATACAATCGACATATACACGTACGTAGTGGTTGTTGGCCGTGTCGCCTTTGATGTAGTTCTCCAAAATCTTGACGGCTTGGAGGCGCACGTTTTGGTCAACGTCGCGAAACGCAACCAACAAAAAGTCCGCCAAGCGCGGCCAATGGCGGCTAGCACAAGAGTATCGCGTGAGCCACCGCAAGTACGCAAGGACACGGACCTCAATGCGGGCGCATAGTTCTTGGCCACCTTGGAGAGCAGCGCCATGGCGTCCAGACGGTGAAATGACACGGCAAGGGGCTCGTTGGCTGTGGCCTGCACCAGCATCTCGACCAAAAACGGCGTCTTGCGGGCGGCCGTCCATGGCGTTCGCTTGGCAGACCACGTCGGCAGTGTCAGCGGGAGCAGGTCGCCTTCGAGCCAGCGCAAGATTACAGCACACGGCTCGCTTGTGCTCAAGAGACTCGACATGCAGGCCAGTGCAGCGACGCGAATCGAGTGGTCTAGTTCATCGTTTGCCTATGTACCTAGCTATTCACGTACCCGAGGCAAAGAGGAGCGCGTGGACATGGACGAGCATGGCTTGCAGGACCGAGGCGAGCGGCGGTGTTGCGCTTGCGAGCTCCTGCAGCACGTGGCCGTACGGTACTTGTTGCACGAGCAGCGTCAGCGTCTAGAGCGATAGAATAATACCAAAAAAAAGTTGAAAAATGCAAAAAAAGCGCGTACCTTGAGGATTTGAACCAACGTCGCCATGTCGGGCTCGACGCGCATCGCGTGGAGCAACGCAATGTGCACTTGGTGGATCATCAAGAGCATCGTCGCCGAGCGCGACCGAAACGTCGTCGCCGTCGGCGCCTTGGCGAGGGTGAGGTCGCGGCGCAGCTCGAGCGCCGGCCACAAGAGCTCAAGCCACTTGAGCGCTTCAAGGCGCACGAGTTCGTACGGGTCCGAGATCAGTAGCGTCAACAGCGACGGCGACTGGTCGTACAGCACCATGTGCAGCGACAGACTCTCGGGCAGGTAGAGACTCATCGATGGCGTGATGCTCGAGGGGTACACCTTGAGAATGACGCACAGCACGCGCACGACAAGGTGGCGCAAGCGTGCGCTCAGCCCACTACGTTAGGTCGTGGATCGAGACCATGACAGCAAAAGCGCGGTCGTACATGCCCTGCTTGAGTGTCTCCGAGTCCGAGTCCGAGATCGACGAAGCCGTCGGGCCCTGGAGCACGAGCCCACACCCTAACCCCATCCAAAATCAGAGTAAATCCTAAAAAATGAAAAAAAATTGAACCCAAAATCTGACGCAAGCTCGCAAGGACGTTGGGCAGCGCAAACTGCATTTGCTGACCGAGGTCGTCGGCATCTCGCGCCGGCAAGAGCGCCAAAATGCATTCGAGGCTGGCGGCGCAGGTCTACCGCCAGGTTCAGAACATCTTCGACACGGCCGCCGATCGTACCTTGTACAACATGCGGTCCATGGTCCACTGGACGCCGGGCACGTCGCCGCGGAGCTGGCGGCACTGCTGTAAAAAGTTGTCGACCAGCGTCGTCCAGAGACGCAGGGCAAACGCGGGTGGGGGCGCGAGGGTCGACGCGTGCAGGAGGTACGCCACGCACTGCGTCGCTGCAAAGCGCGCGCCCACGTCGGCGCTCGTCGGGTCGAGGTACGCCGCGAGGTGCGTCACGATCGACTCGTGCAGCAACGGGCACTTGTCGGCATTGTCGCGCAATAGCAGTGCCATACCAGAGAGCGTCGGCTCCGCGTACCTAGCCCCGTGGCATGAGTGCCTCTATGGATGCAATAAAATGCAATGTGTCTACCACGACGGGCAGTGAAGCAGTGCGTTCATGCAGTACGTCAGCACGATGGTCACGTGCTCGGGCCGGAGCGGCAGTTTTTCCTTGCAGACGTGGCGCAGCACGAGCATAAAGTCCGCGACGAGTAGCTCCGACTTGGTGGGCACCTTGGTAGCGAGCGCGGCCAAAGTGCCGCCGACGTCGTCCGAGCGTAGGCGTGGCGGCGGCAGCGGGAGCGAGGCGACCTTGGCGAGGAGTGCGTCGAGCTCCGCCGTCGAGAGCAGATCGTCGGTCGCCGAGAGCTTGTCGCATACGAGCGTCCACGCGCGGCTCGTGGAGCGCGCCGACTGCCACATGTGTCGATCGAAGAAGAGTCGCGACTGAAGGTCAAGGCCAACGGGCGGAAGCCGGCGTCGCGGGCGTTGGCTTGGATTTCGCGATATCCGGATGCCGACCGGGCACGCGCGCACTCGATTGGCTCATTTTCGTTACGTATCCGGATGATCCACTGCACTTTCTACACAGATCGCAACCGTCCATCAGCGGCGCTGCCTCATCCGCGGTCCAGCTACTCTGGTGTACAAGTCCTCAGTAGGGCTCGCTATCCTAGCTGCAATGAAGGAAGCTGCGGTATACTCCCGCATGGCGCTGGTAGCCGCTGGGACAGCGTGAGAACGCCAAGTGGATGCCACCGCCGTCATGGTACGCGCTCTAGGGTCGCAACGGCATGACGCGTTCACGGTGTAGCAGCGTCTCGGAGAGGTGTATCTGTCGGCGGTTTGGCCGTTGCGCGCCCCTGTCAACGCCTTCTCCCTCGTCTCACGGTCCCTGTCCCATGGTGCTGCAATACGGCGTCGCACGTAGCAACAACACGCATACATGCGAGGAAGCGATCAAAGCAAGGGTCGTTGCATTAGTTGTAGAGGACGCTTGACTCGCCACGCGCGGCTTGGTGCATCGAAAGCATCTTCATGACGCTCGCCGACTTGACATCGACTTCAAATGCAGTCGGCATGTCAAGCGCCTGGAGCACAGAAGGCAGCGCTTCGCCAAGCTTGGCAATCGCCTATGGCATCGTTGCATAAGCATCCATCGTTGCATGCTCAATGGACAGGATATGTAGTACCTCGGCCGAGCCGTCCGTAGCGCGGCCCGTGTACTTGTAGCCGCGGACGAGGAGCACGGTCAGCGGCAGCGCCTCCACCTGGAAGAAGTGCAAGCACGCACAGAGGAAGGCGTCCTTGAGCGTCCATTTGGCCAGCGGAATCGGGCGAAAAAGCGCCGACGAGAGGCCGCTCAGCGGTGCTGTTGCGTGGTACTGAGTCCAAAACACAAAACGCTCGTCCGCGCTCGAGAGCGGTACGTTGGGCGCCGTGAGGAGCACGACGCGCTTGCCGACGAGGAGGTCCGTGAGCTCAGCGGCAAAGGCCGTGCAGAGCGCGTCGGGCACCGGATCACGGACAACGACGAAGCTCACGCTGGTCTCGGCATACGTGCGGATGGCCACGGTGAGGCCCAAGACGGTCAGCGAGCTCTCAAGCAGCGCAGCGTCTTGCACGTAGATGTGATGAAGAAGGCGCGCGCCGGCCGCGGCCAAGTCGCAGTAGCCGAGGACGACGGTCGTGCCAGGGATGCTCATGCTGTGGCGGGCAGGTGGAAACCTTTGATTTTGGATATTCAACGCGACAGGTTTTACGGCTCCCTGTTTTACCGTCCACGCTAAAGTGGTTTAAACATCCAGTTCAATCCGGTCTCAGCGAATCTCGCAATGGCAGAAGCAGAGAGCAAGCGCTCGTTGGATGCTAAACATTGTATGGACACCTTTGAATTGTCTTGGCAACGAAACTTGATGACGTTGCGCTCTCCAAACGCCACACAATGCAGCGTAATTCCAGACGACCTTCATTTAACGCGTTTAAACAGGTCGAACGCCAGAGTGCACTTTATGAGCTCGGTCGAATCCTTCCTCGTGGGCGGCCGGGGACCGCTCGGCCAGGACCGCGTCTGCATTGCGCTGTCGCCTCAAGGCAACCGGCGCAAGCACGCCTCTCGTGAGCTTGAAGATGCCATGGAGAAGCTATGGGACGACAAGCTGGCGGCGCAGCCTCACCTCTTCAACGGCGCCAAGTTCCGCTTGGCGTCGTCCGCACTGACGTCGACCGGCCTCCAAATGACGTGGGGCCTCACGAGCTACAAGGAGTACATTAGCACATGCTCGCGCCCCGAGATTGTCGCGACGTTGCGGCGGGACGGCGGCGAGAACCCGCGCCAACACCTCTCGATGAAGGTCGGCGTCGCTGCAGGTATTCGACGCATGCTGTGCACCGACTGGATCGCTATGAACCCTAGCGCTCGTGACAAGCGACAAGCATGTGGTTTTCCTCCAGCGCAGCAATGCTGTCGGCGCGTACCCGAACATGGCCGACGTGCCCGGTGGCCATCCCGAGCCCGAGGTCTGCCACGTTTCCTCTGGCATTGATCATCACATGCTTTTTGTAGAAAGTAGGTTTGCATTGCGAGAGCGACTACGAACTTAGCGACGAGCTCAACGCGCGGTGCGTCGCCGAGCTCTTCGACTCGATCACGGCCGAAGTCGAGGAAGAAACCAACGTCCCACGCAGCGCGCTCTCGCCGCCGCTGCTGCTCGGCGTGACGCTTCAAGGCAGCGCCGAGACGCCCAGCTACGGTAGGTGTGGCACCGCCTCCCGTGATTAATCTGTCTCTGGAGCGTTCCTTATCGAGTGCGCGCTCTCGGTCGCCGACGTGCAAGAGCGATACGTCGACGCGCAAGACCAGTATGAGAGCACGCGCCTTATGTTTGTGCCCGTAGCAGCGCTGTCCACAAAGTACGTAGTAAACTGCGGTTGGTATGATATGACAATATTGTGCCTAGCACCTTGGAGCTCACGCCGTCTGCAGCCGGCTGCCTCCAACTCCTCGCCGAGCTCTACATGAAGCAACAAAACCAAAATCAAATCTCCAGAATCAAAACTTCATAATCAAAACTTCAAAATCAAATCCCAGAATCGAAATTCCTTCGTCCCAAAATCACACTTTGAATCGAGTGCAAGCGAATGTATAGTTGGTAGCTCCCAAAGACCTGGAGCTCAGTAAGTTTACGCTGGCAATCGCTATCGTGTGTGTAGCAAATGGACGAGTGTGAAAAGTGAGTGTACGAGAAAAGAGAACCGGTGATACGTGAGTGTAAAAAGTGAGCGGGGAGTGTAAAAAGTGGTAGAATTTCAGAGATATGAGGGGTCCTCCCAGAGGGAGGTCAGAAATTGGTGAAGCCGCATTGTTTGTAAGACGTCCACGGTAATCTTTAGTAAAAGGCGAAAGATTAGTACGAGTAAACGCTTTACTGCGGGATAATCGGACTAATGTAGAGCACTGAGCATTGCTACAAAAAAGAAATATATGATTTTTAATAGTTCCCCATGTATGAAATAGCAGGAATTGCCGTAATCCGGATGCTCGCAGTCGAAGGGATTGGCCAGCATACCAACACAATGGCGAATTATAGCCAATCAGATTCGACATGAGCGTCACCGCCGCCGCCACGTCATTGATGTCAAGGCGGCTCGTCCATGGCAAAGCCATTGTCCGCGTTGATGCGTGCACCGGTACACCAAGCTACGAGGCGTTTAGGGCTCTATCAAATGTCGACTCTTGCGGGGTTATCGGTACGCGTCCTGGTATACCAGTGAGCCGTAGCCGAGTAGCGGTTCAGGCTTCTAGGAGAAAGCGTCGTTGCAATGGTCAGTGTAGCCAGCCTCACGTCGTAGGCTCCTCCTCTCAGTTTGCGATACCTAGATATGACGTCAATTCGATCAGCATGTTTAAACTCCTCCGCTCAGTTTGCGAGCAGGAGCTATAATTTGGCGCCGAAACCGCTTCGCCTTTCCACTCAGCATGGACGCGATCCCAGAGACGGACGATGACAGTGCGCCGTCGCCGCGGTTTGTGACGACCGCACCGCGGCTCAAGCACGAGACAACGTCGGTCGTGGGCCGTGCTCGCATGAACCTCTTGGCCACGCTGCGCGACCACTGCATGCGGCACGACGCCGCCCACATGGAAGACGTACGAATGCCTGTCTCTTTCGGCTGGCGTAATACCACATACAGGACCTTGTGCAATTGCTCGATGGCTTCTTCGAAGGACCGCTGTCGTTGGCCGTCCAGGACCGGGAAACAAAGTCCATCACTCCACTGTTTACGTTCTCGTCATGACGCGCGCTGTAGGTACCTCAACACGATGACCGAGGTCTTCCGCGACGAGCTCAAGGAGCGAACGCACACCATTGCGCGCGTGACGGAGAAATGCGCGCTCCTCGAAGCCCGCGTCGCCGAGTGCGACGTCGTCACCGACGGCCTTCGGTCCAGCTTGGATCGACGCAGCTACGAGATGGATGCGCTGCGAAAAGCCCACTACAAGGAGATTCTCATGCTCCGAGAGCTCGTGACGCGGCAAAAGACCGACCCCGCGACACTCCGCGCCCTCGACGGTACATCCAGATCATTTTCAATGGTTGATGCAAAGCGAGGGCGATGGCAGAGGCCATTGCGGGGCTCCACCTGCAGCGGCGACGCATGGACGCGGCCAAATCCGAGGAGACGTCGCCGCGCAAGGCTTCAGTGGCGGCCGATGTACGACGTTCCTTGTTCGTACGTTGATGCCTCATGTCGATATAGGAGCCGTCGATGGACGACCGGATCGAGCTGCTGAAAAAAGATTTGGAGAAACGCAAGCAGTTCAACTTTGTATTGCGGCAAGACCGCGACAAGTGGGAGGAGCGAACGCGCGAAGCCCGGTGCGGCCTTCACGTGTCGGTTGACCACCTACTAAACACGATTGGATATACTAGAGCGGAGCTCGATGCGCTGCGAAAATCACTCGAAACAAAGCCCGACCTTCCCGCGACGACTGCGCCACTCCCAACAACAACGACCACCTCGATGCCGGTGGCGCCATGGTGGACCGACGGCGCCTCTGGTGGACGCCGGGAGCGCCTTGCGATCGATAGCGCGGTCAGCGCACATACTGTCGCCCTGCGCGACGTTGCAGGTGCTTTGAGATGTGGAATGACGGATTCGAAGAAATGCGGTAGCGGCGATGATCGAAGTCATGGCGCTGCCCGAGGTGTGGAGCGAGGTCACCACGATCCTCACCGACCCGATGGAGACGTCCAAGGCAGCCGCGCATCTCTCGTCGCTCGTGCAAGCGCTTACACCCGAGCCGGCGCCCGACACCATACTCGAGGTCCACTTGCCGCCACCAAAGAGCGCACCGTCGCCGCCAACGCGGTCCGCAAGTCGCGTGCCTTGTTTGCAGTGCAACGGCCTCGGCATCATTGACCCTGCGACCGTGTCGACGACCGTGGACGTGCACGCGGATGCGCAGCTCCAGCGCTCGTTGCAGCGGCTCCAAGAGGTCGCTATGCGTCGTTCTCGGCTTCTGCTGACGTGACGCTACCTGTAGCTCAAACGCGAGGTCGAGCAGCGCCAAGACGAAGTCACTCAACTACAAGCTGCCAACACGACGTTAACGACGCAGCAAACGACGTTGACGGCAACAGGTAGCTACTGTTGTCACAACATTTGCCAATCGACGGCGGTAGTGACCGAGCTGCGTGCGCAGTTGGCAGCGATACCAAAACCTACGCGTGCTAACGATAGCATCCCAGCATCGTTCGAGTCTCATCACGGGATTTAGGTAGTAGCAGCAAAGCCGAAGCGACCACAGCAACCGACGCTTCACGTGCGCACCACTCAGTCTCGGTGCAGACCGATACCGTCGTGGCCGAGGCGCTCAAGCACATCGAGCCGACGCCGACCCCAGTCGTCGTTGACGGGGCCCGCACCGAGGCTCTCGAAGCACTACTCCGCGACCAGGCCGTCTTGGTCAGCGACCTCCAAGGCGAGATCTACACCAAAGACGATGTGCTCCGGACACTGCAAGAGAATGTATCGGCGGCCGAGGCCAGTTTGCTCAAGGTTCGCCACGCCTCGGAAGTAGCTCAACAGCTGCTACGAGACGAAATCACAGTACCAAAGGACTCACCGTTTCTGCATTTATTGACATAGTTGTTCGTACTAGGTTCTCAGCGATACGCTGAGTGCCCTGCGCGAAGATTCGACGGTGGCGATGCGGGATAAGCAGGCAGCGCTAACATCGTACCTCGCCCAGCTCTCCACCCGTGCGATGCTACCGTCAACGCCGCTTGAGAATGCCGCCGAGATCGATATTGCGTCCTTGATCCCGTGGAGCGACGACGACACGCAGGCCGAGACACTGGCACGCGTCACCGAAGCCGCAGCGCAGCAAACCGAGGTCGAGTGGACCGACCTCCAGCGCGCTTTTGCCGCGAGCCCGCTGCCCGCGATGCCACTGGATGCTGCGCGCGCCAACCCTGTCGAGTCGATCCTGACGCTGCAAGCCGAGCTCGAGGTACACTCTACGCTATGTAAGGTCATCTCATGCGTGCGCTAGCTGCAGAAAGAGTCGACACAAAAAGTTGCGTGCGTTCAGATGCAGCGCATTGTCACGCTGTCGTCGCACCTCGCGCGTCTCGCCGGTGAAATGCTCACGATGCGAAAACGGTACGCGAATCACAGACAACATGTACACAAAGCGAGGTATTAGATTGCTCGCGCAAGTTGCGTTTTGGAAGACTGAATGCGAGAAACTGGAGCGTGGCCAAATCTGCCTTCTGACCGAATTCAACTGCTACAAGACCAACTACCTCGTCCAAGCGTACGCCGTGCTCTGTGTCTAGTTGCACGCTCCTCATAATGGCTCCAGCGAGGTGCTCAAAATGCGCGCGGCCGCCAGTGAAAGCCAAGAGACGCAGTGGAGTACCATCAACGACGACATCCAAGGTCGCCGTCACCATCGAATTGGTGTCTACACCTCCATTGTTAGAGTTTCTTCGCACGCTGTCCAGTCATGCGGCCGCGACGCCGCACGACGCGTGGACGTGGTTTACGACGCTAAGCAACACGATCGCGGCGGCGAGCGACGGTACTTGTTTTGTATCAAGCTGCTATTTTGATAGCTTGATATTTTAGTATTTTCTCTAACTAAAATTGAACACGCGTATGTAGACACCAAGCAGCGCAGCTTTGAGGCACTTGTGTCGCTCTATCATGCGTGGACAGCCAAGCGCAATGAGGTTGAACCGCCCGTGCAAGCCACGAACAAGCAGCAGCGAAAGCCAAGCCAGCGCAAGCCTGAACCGCGTCAGTCGCGGTCCCAGAGCACTTCGCAAAACAAAAGCCCACGGCCGCCCAAGCAAATGCTTTATCCTGACGAGAAGAAAACACACCTCGCACGGCTTGGGCACACAGAAGCCAAGCTCGGGCACCAGCGGGTCGCGCCGGTGGCCCGCGCCAAAACCGAGTCCAGCTCCGCCTCGTTGGTTGATACACCGCCAGTGGCGATCGTACCATCACGCAACGACCCTCTTTTGCTCGAGTGCGTGCTCGAGTCGTCGACGGCGTCCGAGGTCATGGACGACGATCCTCCGTCATCGCCGCTTCCAATGAATGACATTGCCGAAAGCCAAATCGTCGACGATGTCTTCTCCATACAGCAGGTTCCAGATGCTGCCAGTAACGAGGTGCATCCAGAAGCAGCGGGTATCACCGACGATCAAGCAGAGGAGGAGGCTCCTGAAGAGCTATCGACAGAGCAAATGGCGAGAGCAACCCCCTCACAACAGGAATATGACGACCCAACGAAGAAGGCAAGTCACTTCGAGACGACGTTCATCATGGCGGCCGACAACGAGACACCAGACGTCACAGCACCACTGCGCTCTAAAGCTCCAGCCCCACCGACGTCTCCAGCGCCCCTAACCTCGACAGCACCCCTAACCTCGCCAGGGTCATCGGCCACTTTGCTCGCAGCGCCTCTGTGTGTCTTGCCCAGTGCAAGCATATACGTACCTTCCCCCTGGCTGCCAGAGACCGTGGTGACGTCCAAGGCGAATGCAAGTCCCTCGTCCAAAATACAAGCGCAGGACCACACCCTTCCACATCCGACGCTAGCCCCGTTTGCAGATGGGCCTCCTACGGTACCTCCGACTTCGCCCCCCAAGCGCCGTTCGAGTCGTCTCCCGGCAGAGGTCAAGCTCCCCACGTCCCTTGTGGTGGCCCTCCCAATGCTCACGCCGTTGGTTGTCAGTACGAGCCCGCCTCGCGACAAAACAGCGCACGAGACTCCGCGGATGCTGCCCGTCGACAGCGAACATGCCCATCGTCTGCGCGATAGCAACCAGTTGGAGCACGAGTCCGTGGCAGAGCTGCATACAATGCTCGAGATTCGCTCGCTTCAGCCCGTGGCTGCCAGCAAAGGACTTGCCGCCAGCGCGCTCCCGTCGCCCGTCACCACCGAATTGGAAGAGCAAGAAGCGCTGCCCGAGACCGAGCCGCGCTTGGTAGCGCTGCCACCCATGGCCGACCCCCACCACCACGCCAAAGGGCTCAACTACTTGCGAACGCTCGTTCGCGCGCGGCGAGACGTTATGAGCTCGCTGAGTGTCTTGAACTGGAGCACGCTGGCCGCCCACGCAGCCGTACGCCGGCTTCAGGCGCGTGTGCTAGAGGTGCAACGCCTGCTTATTCTGGTCAAAGACTCAATCGATTGGTGCAGGCGAAGGCGCATCATACGTACCACCACAACCAGCGGGATTCGCACTGGTCAAGCCTTCTTCAAGTGATGCAAAAGGCTCTGCGCACCAAGGAGCGCCTTCGAACACAGGTGCTGGAACGGCGCGGTCAGATGCGGAGTCACTTGGACCAGACCAACGCAGCCGTAGCAGACCAGATATGCGATTTGATTGATAGTGGGGTGTTTTTAGATTCTGCACGCGCTCTCGAGCTTGTTTCAGGACGACAAGACCGTCTCGGACCCGTTGCCTGCCGCAAGGGGCCTGATGCCGTACGTGTCGCGGCCACAACAATGGACAGGTTGTCATGCATCCTGTAGACTCGACCTGAACCTCGTCGACTTGGGGGTGATTCCACCCAGCCAACAAATCCCAACGCCGCACTACCCTCTCCACCCCCACTACCCCACCGACCCCTGTACATCCTATGCACCTCGTCGTATGGCGCTCAACGTTGCTTGCATGTAGACACGGGGCTCATGTCGGTCGAGCGCGTGGCACCGGGAGAGCCCACCCAGCGCTTTCCCGTACGAACGACTGGGCGACTAAGAGTTGACGCATTTGCTTAGAGCCGAACGCTCAAGTTTCGCAGCGACCCCACCGCGGGTGATTTCTCGCTTCTGCATGTGGTCAAAGCGCGCCACCCGCGCAGCGCTGGGCCGCCCGGCAAGGCCGTGCTCGACACCAAGAGCGCAGTCCGCGTGAGCGCGTTTCGCGTCTCGGGTGCGTTTGCGCGTGTCATCAAGTCGTTTGAGGCATTTTGTACAGAAGCAACGACCACAATTGTCGCGTCCGATGCCGCGTTACAGGACATTGTTTGCCAATGTGTCGTGAATGACTTTTGATTGGCCCCGTAGGTGCGCAGTCCGATCAGTCTCGAGACGCCACGTCATCCGAACCCGTACCGGCCCAAGTCGACACCATCGTACCGATCCCGGTTTAGCAGTCGGCAAACCAAGCCCGCGCCGATTGCGCACCCGGACCCTGTCACACTCTTGACAAAGTGGAAATAAAACAGAGTCTTGATCCTGCCTGAATGAATTCTCCAGTGGGCGTTTGGACAAAACGGGAATTTCCTACTTTTTGAGTTTCGAAGTTTCATTATGTACGACCCATTGGACTCGCATCCCGAATTTGACTACAGGCTACCATGCGTTGGCTTGCGTCGTACGAGATGCCGCAGCACGCGCAGCTCGGCCTCTTGCGCTACGCTACGCGCTCGCAGCGCCGCCACCTCTGTCTGCAG